ATGATATATCACAACATTTAACGATTAAACTTAACACAAGATAATAAGGCACATCCCGTGGTGCTGTCTTGACTTATTCATTCATAAGTTCAGTTGTCAAGTTCAGTTGTTGCATGCCACAGGAAATGAGGGGTCAGCAGAGCAATATGTTAAGCCCGGGGCACTTCATTGCGCCTGGCCATCTGTTAAGGTCCATGTGGTTGAATGTTTTTCTTTGTCTTCCCCCAAAAGCTCATTTGTATTAGATCCTTTGAGGCTCGACATAAGTGTGATAAGGAAATTCCTAATGGAGCTCTGCTTCGACTCCTCGAGTCTGCAGAGTTGATTTACATGGTCCTGTGACTTGCAGGACAGTTCTGTCTTTTTTATGGCATGTGACTTGGGTGCTGGAAAGTTCACATGAAGTTCTTTGAATCCTTTTGAGCATCTGTGTCTGTCCATATCCTACAACAATAAATAAAACTGAAGAAACAAGTGACCTAAATTTAACATACAATATAAATAAGACATTGTACAAATCTAAAAGATGTTTTATAGCTTGTTTATTTATTTTCTACTATCTACAAAACAAGGGGCTGTGTGTGTGTGTGTGTGTGTGTGTGTGTGTGTGTGTAATTTATGACAATATGGAGAAAGCTAAAGGATGAATTATCAACTGCACTTTGATACTGGAGTAAAGGAAGCAAAACAGGAAGCAAAACAGGATCATAGGTTCAGTGGAAAAATACAGATTTAGAACACATAATAGCTCAAAACGTACTTAATTATAAAATTTCCCCCTTTTGACATGATTTCATCACTCTTGGCATCTATGCTCATATTTCTGTTTGAGGTGTTTTGGCTCTATTCTAGATTTTTCCTTTTCCCTTGTGTTTGTGTAATACTTACCTCCTGCCCCTTAGTAGCCGACTGGTTTGTATGGAATTCACCCGAGCAACCAGTCCGGTCAGATTCAGTTTTTCAGAAGTCGGTGGAGACCACCACAAAGGCTTCACCTCAGTCTGCTTGTGTTATCACCGTTAGGTTTCCACAGAGATCAGCATTACCTTTTAACTCCTGTCTTTCTGATCTGAGACACTACCAATAACTACCTCCCACAGCAGTTTTAAACATCCATGCACATATATTTTTCACTCTTTATTCAACAACATTTATTTTGTCACTCCTTTATTTTGCTTTTGTTTTATTTATCTTTTTTTGGTCTTTGTTTATAGTTGTTTTAGGTTGATCCACTTCCTAGGGAATTCCATCCAGGCGTTTACCACACACACGTCTGTGCAGTGGGGCTCCAAGCTCCGGTCCTTGAATTTTAGAGGATTCTAACTCTCAGGGCCTTTAAACCCAGATTTTTCGGTCCCCGTCAAGACCCGGGGCCTCCAAACCCAGCAGTTGTGTTTCCATTTCTGTCTGGGGTTTTTTTTTTTTTTGTCTTTTTGGATTTTTTTAACACAACCGGGCAGTTTCTCGTGTCTCATTTCTCTTTATAAAAAATAGTAAAAAATGCACTATTTAACTATCATTTTAAACTAGAACACACACTCTGTGACAAACACAATTTAGAATTTCCAATGGCAGAACTTTGATAGAACAGGCGTCTGCTTACCTTCTTTGATTTGAGACGGCCGTCTGGGTTGTCAAACAGTGATGGATGCAATTCTCTGGACCTTCACTTCTCTGTCTTCATCACGTTGGGGTCACCAAATTGTTGGAGCTGGATCCCAATCGACCTAAAATCAAACTATGTGTGAGATAGCTCCTGCGCATTTGTTTAATGACGCAATAGGAGAAGATAGTTAGGTCTCACCCAATGTATTTATTTATCAGATAGTTGAATAAGCATACAGAGCTCTGGATCAAACTGCTCACCCTAGCACCAACAGAGTTAATGTCAGGACACGAAGTCTGACCGACTGCCTCTCCCTGATCCAGGGTACTTTATACTATTACATGAGGATGAGCACAGAATGTGTTGCAGCTAGCTGATTGGCTCCTCCGTGTCCCTGGGCCTTCTTCCACCATCTCGTAGGTGCAGTGATTGGTCAGACGGATTGAGAGGCGGACCCTCTCTGCCCCGCCCACATTCCCACATTTACCGCCTTCTGCTGGCTTTGTCTGCATCGTCGCTGCCGACTGTGAATCAAGCCAGCCACGCCCCTTGCCCCGCAAAATTTTGACGATTTAAAAAAAATTCAGTATCGATTTATTTTCAGATTGGCCACCGGATCTCTGAATTCGATTATGAAAACTAATAAGAAAAAAATCCTGAGCTGTAGGAATGAAGTATTTCATGATTTGTGATCACTTCTTTTCCAATTCAAGTCTATGGGAGCCAGGGCTTTTTGGAGCCAGCAGCTCGCGGACGTAGGTTTTTGACACTTCCAGGTTGGCTTCATTTTTCAGAGCCGGTTGCTACGTCCATCTTTTATACAGTCTATGGTGTGAACCAACTAGAAGATGTGTGAGAAGCTCATGTCCCTCCAGCTACCGGAGAACACCTCGAAGCCGACGGACTGTTTGCTGGAAGCGGCTCAGCAGCAGCTCGCAGTCCGTCTTCATCTGTTTTCGGCAGAAATGCACGTCGCTGCCGCTCAAACTCACCCTCAACAAACTTGAACCGGCTTCTGTCGGCGGCTGCATGTTCGTCTTTGCACCGATTTAACGAGAAAACGGCTCTGGGCTCCCGCAGCGTAAACACACGGCGCAAACACAACTGTCGCGGATTTAGTGCGTCATCAACGGCCGACGTCTCTGTGAACCAATGAGCTCGCTCGAAGTGAGTCGCACATGCGTAGAACCGATCACTGCACGACAAGGATTGCCACAAAAAGACTATTTCTGCTCGTCCGTCTCTGATTGGCCTGAATTTCTGACACAATGAAATAATACTATTGATGAAAAATATTTGTAATAAAATAACATTAATGGATTAAGAAGTTTCTGTATTTACGAAAATGTAATATATAAAAAACTACCCGCCGACGTAGATTCTGCAGATTTTGTCACGTGTTAAACTTGCGGCTGTTTGAACAACAAGCACTGTATAGTATGTATGTAATAGCATTTTTTCATTTTTTTGTTATTTATATTTGAATTCAGGCTTACTTTGAAACGCTCTCTCTATTTGTGCAACAGTTAAAATACTGTAAACTCAGTAATCAAACTGAATCTTAAGTGTTTTGGATCCACAGTTTGATTTTAATGAAACATGCATGTAAACTGTAAAATATGATTTATCAGTGTTGTAGACTTCAGGATCATCTTAGAAACTTTGCAAAACTTACCTGCATGTGAAGCTGTTTTAAAAGCTTTCTTTCTGATCTTTTCTTAAACCTCTGGTCTTTATTTTTATCGTTCATTTTAACTCACACGTGACCACTGAAGATGTTCAGATTCATTCATTTAGGATTGAGGTGTTTGTCGCCCTCTGCTGGTCACAACGGGGAACTGCTGTTCACTAACGGAGTAAACTCGGCTACTACATTTAAACTACAGTGACACTGCAGTGAAACGATCTAAAATTGAGGAAAATAAACAACTGTGAAATAATTACGCTGATTTAACGTAGAATAAAGTCAGGGATCGAGCTAGCATTAGCATTAGCCAGCCTCTGCATTACCGTTTATCTTTTCTCTCTTCAGTCAGAAAGGCTCCCGTAGCACAAAAAAAGTCTGTACAGAAGAGAAATCATAGATATATTTAAAAAGAATAAACAGTTAAATAGTTCTGTACACTTCCGTCCGTCAAGACTACCGGTCCGTCTTGCTTCCGGTCCCCCTGTGCGTCGCTCTTTACGGTCCGAGCCTTTTCTCCCTCCGCCCGGTGCCGTTTCCACTTTGTGGCCCACGTGTGGAGTTTATTCGGTTTTTTTTACCTCAAAGTTTCACCTTTAAAGTCTGGACCAAATGGCGTCGTCTATCGAGCAGATGAGGGCGAACGTGGGGAAACTGCTGCGGGGCATCGATAGGTACGATTGATCCGAGTGACGAGCTGATCACCGCGCTAGCCCTAGCTTAGCCGCTTTGCTAACATGCTAAGCTAGCGTTTGCAGAGTCAGGTCAGTGGCGGTAAGACCGCTCAGGAGGCTTTTGCACCAGTACATGAGTTTTTTATTATTGGCTTAGTGCCGGTTTGAACGTTGTCTTAATAAAATTAGACGAACATTAAAATTAGAGCAGCTGTCATGTCAGATTTCCGCAGTTAGCATTAGCTCAGTGTGCTCCAGTGAGCGGAAGGCAATCCCCCTTTAAAACATTTGAAGATCCCTTATTGAGAATTTCAAGTTGCTTGTAATAAATAATGTTTACCAGTAATAAAAACTCGCATTTTCTTATGATTAGATGAAGTTTAAATATTCAACCAGTTTAATATTGTGTTTAAAGCAGGTGATGAGCAGCACTGAGAGGCTATTTGTGCTTATTGCAGACAAAGGAAACGTGTTTACTCACAAATGTTCGTCTTTCCAAGTCCAAGATGAGAAGCATTTTTAGTCTTTTGCTTCCTTTTCAAATCTGGTATCACACAGTTCAGTATTTACACAGATGTTGACAGGTGTTTTGAACTGTTTTTAAGTGATAACTAACACAGAGTCGAAGTAGCTGATTCGGAAATAAGATGAGGGACCTTTATGTAGCATCATCTACATAAATATGATCTCGTAGAAGAGACAAGACAAGTACAAAAAGTGCTAAAAACTTCTAACCTGTGGTGTAGAACAAGTCCACACGTAACACAAAAACACTGAAGCCGCCTGCTCCCGATTTAAAGGTGATGATCTTGCGTCTCCTCACAGGTACAACCCAGAAAACCTTGCAACGTTGGAGCGCTACGTGGAAACACAAGCGAGAGAGAACTCCTACGATCTGGAGGCGAACCTGGCCGTCCTGAAGCTGTGAGTCACACCGTCTGGACCCTGAGGCCAAACACAGTTCAGACAGTTGGACACAACAGAGCACTTAACAACAAGACACGAGAGCAGTTTCTTCCCACAATCCGTCACTGAACATTTAAATCAGTCAGGAACAAACTTACTTTGAATCTCATCTACAAACTGCTGTATCCACTTATTATATCTGCACTGTTGTCCCCCTACCTCCTCCACCTCACACTAAACTTTGGGTCACTGTAATTTTCCACTAAAAACTCTAAACACGCTCTTTAACACATTTGAAGTAGGACAGAGTAGTTCAACGTACTTGACCAATAAAGCTCAATCTGACACTCACACAGCTGTTTAATCAACCTTTAAACTGGTGGGTGAAAGTTCACAGTTTGCTTTGTTCTTGCAATTGATTTTTCTTGTGCCGCCTCTGACCCGTAAACCTGCGTCTCTCTGCAGCTACCAGTTCAACCCAGCCTACTTCCAGACTCAAGTGACGTCACAGATCCTGCTGAAGGCTCTGACCAACCTGCCGCACACCGACTTCACTCTCTGCAAGTGCATGATCGACCAGACACACGTATCCCTTTGGTGCGGTAACTTCTGGGTGACTTCTGTGTGATTCATAGCGTTACAGTGGTAGTAGTGGGGGTCGGGGTCTGTCTCGGGGTCGGGGGCCGTTTCCTTGACTACAGTGTCGCAGCAAGAGGAGCGTCCCATCAGGCAGATCCTCTACCTCGGGAACCTGCTGGAGACGTGTCACTTCCAGAGCTTCTGGGTACGACACACACACACAAACTTTGTGTAATTGAATTTTTGTATCTCTGCACTTTTTAAAAGGCGTCTAGGCCTCCTTTAATACTAGAGTCAATTTCATGTTCATGTGCTGGCTAATCCATCAATAATTAATCGGCTCCTGATTCCTGTGTTGCAACATCTCCGTTCTCATCGTTCACATCCTTTGTGATTTTCTTTTCCCAACTTGCAAAACAGTTTTGCTTCCTTGTCTTCCTCACAGACGAGTCTGGAGGAGAACCGAGAACTCATCGACGGCATCACCGGCTTCGAGGATTCAGTTCGCAAGTGTGAGTGTCGTTGTCCTCTGACTCAGCAGAGTGGACAGCACATCCAACCAGTCTGAGGGAAATGAAAGGAAACAACCCACGTCACAAATAAAGCTTTGGTCGAGCAGGATTCAGATTTTAATGTTTTCTTTTTATTTTATCTTCCTCTTCAGTCATCTGTCACGTTGTGGGCATCACCTACCAGACCATCGAGCACCGGTTACTGGCAGAGATGCTGGGAGACCCACTGGGTAAGAACTGAGCCTAAAGACCTGCCACAGGGCTCCAGCTACCAAATATTCAATATTTAAGACAGTAAAATGCCTGGATGTCTCTTCTCAGTGCCAGAAGGACTCCAAGTTGCTGCAGCAGCATCTATTAGTGAATTAAAACACTGCTGAAAACAACCAGACAACACTTTCCCCTCCATCTGATTCAACTTTAACGCTCCACTAATCTGTCTTTACACCTCATATTAACAGTAAAGCAGATATTAGTGTGTAGCTGTAAAACTGACTGAACCTCTCTCCGTCTGTCGGTTCAGACACGCAGGTGAAGGTGTGGATGACTAAGTACGGCTGGACGGAGAACGAGGACGGGCAGATCTTCATATTCAACCAGGAGGAGAGCGTCAAGCCCAAGAACATCGTGGAGAAGATCGACTTTGAGAGTGAGTGCTGCCGCTCAAACCCATCGATTCATGAATGTTTGTTTTAGGCAGTTTGACAGAAGTCGTTTCCTTTTTCATCCTTTGTGAGACTCGGACTAAGTTCTGATCTGTTCTCGTCAGTGCTCCAAGCTGAAAAACTGCATCTGGTGTGTTGTTAGTTAATAAACAAACATCACTTATATTCACATCGACTCCGATGCAGCTTTAAATGCACATGCAGATGCCCCTGTCTCAATGGATCATCATGTGCAGTGGTGCCTGGAAGTCTGTGGAGTTTTCTGTATTTTGGCGTAAATATGACTTAAAACATCTGCAGATTTTCACACGAGTCCCAAAAGTAAATAAAAAACAAGTAAACAGATGAGAGAAAAATACTGAACTTGATCTTCTACTGACTAAAAACTAAACGTCTCTGTGTGGGATTCCAGTATTTAACTGGCATTTGTCAAAACTTCACAAGGACACAGAAATGGATGAGTTTTTATATCGTTGACTAAACAGATGAAACCAAAAAATATGTACTTGGTTATTTATTGAGGAAAATGATCCAATATTCCAGAACTGAGTGGCAGAAGTAAGTAAGTGAGTGTTTCCGTGTCTGGTGGGAGCAGGAATAGCTGTTGATCAGTTCTGCAGCGAGCAGCCGTGACTCTGGGATGCTGTTGGGTTTCTTGGGCTCCTTAACGTTTCTGTTGGATTAAGGTCAGGACTTGAACGTGGCCCTTCCAGCGTTCTTCATCTCTCGCGGTTCTTCTGCTGAAGGACTTGTGTCGCTTGTCGTCTTGCTGTATGAGCTACTTCTGAAACACTCTGGTGTGATTCAGGTTGCGCCGTCAGATATGAGACCACGATGCTGCCGCCACCATGTGTTTGTTGAGGCGCTTTTTAAAGATATTTTCTGCTCATGAAACCCTTTCAGTCTCGTTGTCTCTGAATTTCAGCTGATTTTCTCCGTTTGATCTCATTACAAACTGAATATTTACTGATATTTATATCCAAAATCCCGTGACGTTTCATCACATAATTGATTCACGTACAAAATAAATGCACAGTGACTTCCAGCAGTCAGAGATCAGCTGCGATTCACGTGTCCTGTTTGCTTCTGTGCTGACTTTGTTGTTGTTGTTTGTTTGTTTCACAGGCGTATCCAGCATCATGGCCACGTCTCAGTGATGAAAACAAACACACCAACGGACACACACACACAGTCAGGATGGAGTCAACCGGGCCTTCAGCTTTCAGTGCCACTCTTTTCACAATAAAAGTAATTTATCAGTTACAGTCTGTGTTTGTGTTTTCTTCCGTCCTGAAGTGATCCACTGAGCTTCGGGCTGTTGGCTGTTGATACGCTGTAAGTCATCGTGTCCGGTGTTGTGTCGTGACTGCTGTGTGTTGTTGTTCTATGAGGTGAACACATGGGGGGATGTCCTATGCTTCATACGCTCGGCAGCTTTACAGGAGCAGGAAGATGATGATGACAACAGTGTTGCTCCGAATCGACAGCAGAAACTGTTTGAGTCCAACGGAACTGAACGAAGAACCCGTCGTGTTGGAGGCGGCAGAATCACTGAGCACATCGACGCTTCAAGCAGCAGAACCACAAAATCTGGAGACTCGTAGTTTAATCGTAGCAGCTGCTTGAGTTCCTTGAAGATGTTCCACCTCTTATCCAAGAGGCTTCATCAGCTCTGACTGACTAGTTGGGAGTTCCACATACTTATGTCCTTAAAGAGCCATTAACACCTGAGTTTAGGTTTTAATTGGGGGTTTGTTGCTCCTCCCCCTTGTTATGCGATTCGTTAGTGCTCCTCCTGCCACAATGGGGTTCGTTAGGGTCTTTTGTGGCCAGATGGGAGAGAGCTTAGGACTGGATTGTAAACTGGTGAGAGGTGATACCTCAGATGGTCTTTCCAGTTAGATGACTTCTTTCACTCCTCTCTCAAACCATCTGTCCTCCCTGCAGGCCAACATCTGTATGTTGTCTTCAAATGAGTGTCCTTTGTCCTTGAGATGCAGGTGGACTGCTGAGTCCTGTCCTGAGGAGCGCCCCCCTGAATTT